CTGACCTCAGGTTATCTACCCATCTTGGCCTTCCAAAGTGCTGGGATTACAGGCATGAGCCACTATGCCCCAGCCAAAATTAGTTACATTTTAACCTATAATAGGCTAAGTAGAACAATTTAAAATAAATTACTTCTGTGACTGCAGAAATTATTGGATCAATTTCAACAAGCAGGCACTCTGGGTCAGTTCCTTTACCTGAATCTTCTCTAAATTGCTATACATTCCGACATTTCATACAATCAAAATCCCCAAGAATCATCAAGAAAAAATATTTTACAAATAAGGTGACCCAGGCGGGCATGGTGGCTCATGTTGGGATTACAATCCCAACACTTTGGGAGGCTGAGGTGGCAGGATCATGAGGTGAGGAGTTCAAGACCAGCCTGACCAACATGGTGAAACTCTGTCTCTACTAAAAAATACAAAAATTAGCTGGGCATGGTAGCATGCACCTGTAATCCCAGCTACTCAGGATGCTGAGGCAGGAGAATCACTTGAACCTGGGAGGCAGAGGTTGCAGTGAGCTGAGATCGGGCCACTGCCCTCCAGCCTGGGCAACAAATCGAGACGATACTCCATCTCAAAAAAAGAAAAAACAAAAAAGAAAAGAAGAGAAAAGAAAAAAATGCTACCAATAAATACATTAATTAAAACATCAAAAGTGAGCCAGTAATAAAGTAAAAATAAGAAGCCAAAGAAGGTAAGAGTTATGTTTCTAAGGTGTATTTACCATGCCCTCCGTGAAGGCACATCTGTTGCCATTGCTTACTTTAATTGAAATACTTCAATTACTGTTCACTTCAATCACTTAGTAATTAGGGTGCTATGGCCTGAATGTTTATTTTTTTATTAGAGATGATTTCACCATGCTGGGCAGGCTGGTCTCGAACTACTGACCACCTGAGCTGTACTCCTTGGCTTCCCAAAGTGTTGGGATTACAGGCATGAGCCATCATGCCCAGCCTAATAACAGTTTATTTCTTGCTCACCTAAGAGGTTGTTGCTTCTGAGGGGTGGTGGACCCTCTCTGTATCAGGCCCCCTTATGTTACTTTAAATTTATTATGTAGCTCTCTTTTCCTCAATCCTCATTGTCATCAGCATCTGGCCAGTGAAGGGAGAAATGGAGCAGGGAAGAGACTTACATATTTCTTTCTTTTGTTTTTTTTGGAGACAGAGTCTCGCTCTGTCACCCAAGCTAGAGTGCAGTGGCACAATCTTGGCTCACTGCAACTTCCACCTCCCTGGTTCAAGCAATTCCCCTGCCTCAGCCTCCCGAGTAGCTGGGATTACAGGTGCATGCAACCACGCCAGGCTAACTTTTTTCGTATTTTTAGTGGAGACAGGGTTTCACCATGTTGGCCAGACTGGTCTGAAACTCCTGACCTCAGGCAATTTGCCCACCTCGGCCTCCCAAAATGTTGAGATTGCAGGTGTGAGCCACCATGCCTGGGCAAGACTTATGTATTTCTTAAAATAATGTCATAGATTATTATTCTCCACATGTTCCATAGATCAGAATTCAGTTGTGTGGCCACAAACAACTACAAGGCAAGCTTGGAAAAATAGTTTAGTTGTGTGTTCAGCAAAAAGAAGAAACTCATTTTTGCTGCACAGTTGACACACTCAGACAGAGTCTCCGTGCATCATAAGAAACACTAACAGGCCAGGCGCGGTGGCTCACGCCTATAATCCCAGCACTTTGTCTCTGGGAGGCCGAGGCAGGTGGATCACAAGGTCAAGAGATCGAGACCATCCTGGTCAACGAGGTGAAACCCCATCTCTATTAAAAATACAAAAATTAGCTGGGCATGGTGGTGCGCGCCTATAGTTCCAGCTATTCGGGAGGCTGAGGCAGGAGAATTGCTTGAACCCAGAAGATGGAGGTTGCGGTGAGCTGAGATTGTGCCATTGCACTCCAGTCTGGGTAACAACAGTGAAACTCCATCTCAAAAAAAAAAAAAAAAGAAAGAAACACAAACATACCAAGCTTTCAAACTATGCTAGATGGATCTTAAAGGTGCCAGTTGGCTGACTACTAGAGTCAGGCAGTAGCAGAAATGCTTCCCATGGGAATCCACCTTCTTTAGCTGTCCTGAGAGTGCTTAAAACTCAGTATCTAAAAATGATTCTAACATTCATTAACAGTTGTACCAATATACCAAGTAGGTCCCACAGTAAAGCACTTTGTCTGCTTCAAGACAGGATAGATGGCCTCTTAGGAACAGACTGAGTCGGCCTTTTCTCCTCCTTCCCCCTTTTAATGAATCAGCCACATTGTTTGAGAAGGCTTCTGAGACCATTATCTGGATGTCTCATTGCTCTGACAACTACCACTTTGGACGCTAGAATTTCAGTCATGAAGACCAGTGAGATTTAACCAGTTCATTTTCTTAACATTTTGTTAACAAATGAAATAAACTTTTCTGGTAAAATGACTGTTAAGAAAAAAGTTATTTCTCTTGACCTACTGGCACAAGTAAACAGTGAATCTTTCAACATTCAAGCCAGAGATCAGAATTTTATTTGAAGAAGATGACGACTTTGTGGTTAATGGTATTCTTTTTGTACTTACTCGCTCTTCCAGATCAGAGACAGAGAATAATTGGCCATTCTGTAGATGGCTTCAAAAGAGTAGAACTTACAAGCATATCGGTTGTTTTTTTTTTTTTTCTTTTTAAGTTCAAGAAGGATGTTCCTGGGGGAAAATATAATCAGGTTCAAATTTCAAACGAAACTGTGTAGGAGGTTTTCTGTTTGTAGCCTAAATGGTTAACTCAGACATGTCTACACACAGAACAGCCAAATAATAATTAAGTGCTGTCAATGAACACCACCACACTAGATATTATCTGTGTTTACCCGTAGTGTCTGCTCATATTTACAAATCACTTTATAATGTTCATGAAAGTATTTTGCCTCAACTATTTATTTCTAACTAGTCATAGAGCATGGGTGGGTAATCTTTCTTTTTTTCAAATTGCTGATTACATCTCCTAAAGCAAAATCAACTATATAATTAATTTAGAGTTGTTTTTCCTTAAAGAAACATTAACATCAAAATCACATCCTTTTCTATCTAAGCAAAGAAAACAAAAAGTATATAATTCTTACAAAAATGCTTTAGCATGGAATTTATTTCCATTCTGTGGCCAGTTAGGAGAGAGGGGAAGGAAGGAATAGGAAGGAAGAAAGAAGAGGTAGGAGGCAGAGGTGGGAAATAGAGACCAGGATAAAGGGATGAGAAGACATAAAAAAGGAAAAGGAAAACATGAATGACCAACGAATGGGTTGGCAGAAACAAAGCAGGGGAGAGAATGAGAAAGATCCCAGCACTTTGGGAGGCCAAGGCATGTGGATTACCTGAGGTCAGGAGTTCAAGACCAGCCTGGCCAACATGGTGAAACCACATCTCCACTAAAAATACAAAAAGTAGCCCGGTGTGGTGGTGTGCACTTGTAATCTCAGCTACTCAGAAGGCTGAGACAAGAGAACCGCTTGAACCCAGGAGGTGGAGGTTGCAGTGAGTCCAGATTGCGCCAATGTACTCCAGCCCAGGCAGCAAGAGTGAAATCCATCTCAGGAAAAAAAAAAATATATATATATATTTTTTTTTCCTTCAAGAAAATGAAGGAAGGGAAAGAGCAGCAGATTTTTTTCTTGAAAAAAGTGGGGGACACTTGGATAAAGTGAAGAGCAGAACCTACCTATTAGGGAAGGGAATTGGGGGAAAGTTTTCTATGGTACTGCAGCCATTGTGATCAGAAGGAGGCTAAGGTAAAATCAGTCCAAGATAGTCTAGCTGTGGGTTGGGTTTCCTACCCTGTCTGTAGACTCCGTGAAGAGCCATGTCTCTCCAGCCAGAAATATATTCTTGCTTAGGTGACTCTTACAAGCTACTTCTTTATAAATTTTGTAGATTCTTTTTTTCTTTCTTATTTGCAGTGTTAATTCACTTTATTTTTTGTGTATAAAAACACTATGTTGTAGCCACAGCTGGAGCTTGGGTCCTCTGCATGGGGACTCTGGTGTGGGTCTTGACGAGGTAGTCAGTGAATTCCTGATAGGGAGACTTGGTGAACACAGTCTCCTTCCAGAGATCGGGGGTCAGGTAGCTGTAAGTCTTAGAGATGGCATCAAAGGTGGCCTTGGCGAAGTTGCCCAAGGTGGCAGTGCAGCCCTAGCTGAGGTGTAGTCATCGATACCAGCCATCATGAGCAGCTTCTTGGGCACAGGTGCTGAGACGATGCCAGTGCCCCTGGGTGCGGGGATGAGGCACACCAGCACAGCGGCCTGTCACCTTGCAAGGGACGTGTGGGGCTTACCGATTCTTGTTCCCCCAGTAGCCTCTGCACACGGGGACAATGGAGAGCTTGGCCAGGATCATGGCCCCACGGATGGCAGTGGCCACCTCCTTCGAACACTTAACACCCCGACCGACATGACCATTGTAGTCCCCAATAGCAATCAACGCCTTGAACCTGGTGCACTGGCCAGCACGGGTCTGCTTCTGCACTGGCAAAATCTTCAAAACCTCATCCTTGAGAGAGGCCCCCAGGAAAATGTCAATGATCTCAGATTCCTTGATGGGCAGAGAGAAGAAATAGATCTCCTCCAGAGATTTAATCTTCATGTCTTTGACCAGGAGGCCCAACTTGGTGACAGGTATCCACTCCTTATCCTCGGCTTTGCCTCCGTGAGCTCTGCGGCCTCAGCCCCGGCCCGGGATACCACTGCCAAAGACTCCGCGGAAGTCACTGCGGTTCCCCATCCCAGGGACCCCTGGGCCTCCGGGCCCTCCCGCTGCACCGGGGTCATCCGCCATTTGGTGTTTTATCCGAGAAGAAGGTGTGGATTCTTTTTAAAAATTGAATTATTTAAGATGTACGAAAAATTTACAAACCATGGAATCCATCCTTTTAAAATAAACCGTTCAGGGTTTATAGTAAGTCCACAAGTTATGCAATCTTCACCACAAATTAATTCAAGAATATTTTCATATTTACCTGGCAGGTGAAATACCATCATCACGAAGGTGGCTTTCCCAGAGTGAGGGTTATTGGTTGCACTCTGGATCTGCTGATGATTGCAATTTCAAGTACGGAAAACTCAACTGCATAATCTTTGGTAGTGGAGGACTGCGTTCACACTCTTCCCTGTAACAACAACAAAAACTAAATATATCTATTTTTATCACTCCTAGGAAATCGTGTGTTTTACTACATTAGGAGTAACTCTCCATTTTTCTCCTCCCTCCAGCTCCTGGAAACCAATCATCTCTTTTCTGCCTCTATAGATTTGCGTATTCTGGAAATTTCATATAAACAAAATCATCAAATATGTGACATTTTGCGTGTGCCTTCTTTCACTTACCATAATGTTTTTAAGATTTACCCATGTTATAGCATGTATTAATATTTCATCCTTTTTTTTTTGAAATAGAGTCTTGCTCTGTTGCCCAGGCTGAAGTGCAGTGGTATGATCCCAGCTCACTGCAACCTCCACCTCCTGTGTTCAAGCTATACTCCTGACTCAGCCTCCCGAGTAGCTGGGACGACACGCACACACCACCACATCCGGCTAATTTTTGTATTTTGGTAGAGACTGGGATTCACCATGTTGGCCAGACTGGTCTCGAACTCCTAACCTCAGGTGATCCACCTACCTTGGCCTACCAAAGTGCTGGGATTATACGCTTAAGCCACCATGCCTGGCCTATTTCGTCCCTTTGTATAGCTGAATAACATTCCATTGTATGAATATATCACCTTTTATTTATCCATTTTTCAGTTGACATTTGAATTGTTCCTACTTCTTGGCTATTATGAATAAAGTTGCTCTGAACATTCCTATAAGAGTTTTTGTGTGAATGTATCTTTTCAGTTCTCTTGGATATATAACTAGGAGTGAAATTGCTGGGTTGGTAATTCTGTTTAACTTTTTGATGAGCTGCCAGACTGTTTTCTAAAGTGGTTACACCATTTTGCATTCACACTAGCATCTATGAGTGTTCCAAATTCTTTCTGCAGCCTCACCAACACTTGGTATTGTCGAATTCTTTGATTATAGTCATTCTACTAGGTATGAAGTGGTTCTCGTTGTTTGGATTTGCTTTTCTTCTTTCTTTCTTTTCTTTTCTTTCTTTCTCTCTCTTTCTTTCTTTATTTTGTTTTTTTGTTTTTTGTTTTTTTTTTGATGGAGTCCTACTCTGTCGCCCAGGCTGGAGTTCGATGGTGCAATCTTGGCTCACTGCAACCTCCACCTCCTGGGTTTAAGCAATTCTCTTGCCTCAGTCTTCCGAGTAGCTGGGATTACAGGTGACCACCAAAATGCCTGGCTAATTTTTTTTGTATTTTTAGTAGAGATGGGGTTTTGCCATTTGCCTACGCTAGTCTTGAACTCCTGAGCTCAGTTAATTTGCCTGCCTTAACCTCCCAAAGTTTTACATTTTTATGAGTTCAAATTTATCCATTGTTTTTTCTTTGGTCACTTCTGCTTTTAGGTGTTAGATCTAAGAAACAATTGCCTAATTCAAGATAATGAAGATTTCACCTTCATCTTGTAAGAGTTTTAAACAGGTAGTTCTTACATTTAGGTACTTAATCCATTTTGAGTTAATCTGTTATATGGCGTGAGATTGGTGTCCAACTTCATTCTTTTGCATGCAAATGTTGACCCAACACCATTTAAACAAGATTATACTTTTACTATTGAATTATCTTGGCATCTTTGTCAAGACCAATTATTTCTGGAGTCTCAATTCCATTCCACTGATCTACATGTCTATTCTTATGTTTGTATAAAACTGTCTTGATTATTGTAACTTTGTAGTGACTTTTGAAATTAAACATATGAGTCCTCTAAGTTCGTTCCCTTTCAAAATTGCTTTCAGTGTTTTGGTTTCCTTTTGGATTTCCATGTGAATTTCAGCATCACTTTGTCAACATCTTCAAAGAAGCTAGCTTGGAATTTGATAGGGATCACATTAAATCTTTAGATCAATTTAGAAAATGCTGCCATTTTAACAATATTATACCTTTTGATTCATGAACATGAGATGTCTTTGTATTTAAGTCTTCTTTAGTCTATTTCAACATGTGTTTGGTTTTTTCATTTGTTTGTTTGTTTTCAGACAGCATGTACCTCTGTCACACAGGCTGGCGTGCAGTGGCACAATTACAGCTCACTACAGACTCCACCTCCCAGGCTCAAGTGATCCTCCCACCTCAGGCTCCTAAGTAGCAGGGACCACAGGCATGCACCATTATGCCTGGCTAATTTTTCACTTCTTATTTATTTATTTGAGACAGAGTCTCACTCTGTTGCCCATGTTGGAGTGCAGTGGCGCCATCTCGACTCAGTGAAACTGATATGGAGTTTGCACCTATTGCACTGGGTGCCTTTTAGCTCTTCAAAAAAAATATTTTTTTTTTGAGACAGGTCTTGATTTGTCACCCAGGCTAGAGTGCAGTAGCATAATCATGGCTTACTGCAGCCTCGACTTCCCAGACTCAAATAATCCTCCCACCTCAGCCTCCCAGGTAGCCGGGTCTACTGGCATGTGCCATCATCATTAGATAATTTTTGTAGAGATGGGGTTTTGCCATGTTGTCCAGGCTGTTCTCCCACTCCTGAGCTCAAGTGATCTACCTGCCTTAGCCTCCCAAATTGCTGGGATTATGGGTGTGAAACACTAGACCTGTCTGTCCTTTTAGTTATTTTTCCTACCTAATCACCCTGGTTAGAATATCTGGGACAATGGTACATAGAAACAGCAAGAATGAGCCAGGTGTGGTGGCTCACGCCTGTAATCCCAGCACTTTGGGAGGCTGAGGTGGGCAGATCACCTGAGGTCAGGAGTTTGAGACCAACCTGGCCAACATGGTGAAACCCCGTCTCTACTGAAAATACAAAAATTAGCCAGGCATGGTGGTGGGAACTTGCAATCCCAGCTACTGGGGAGGCTGAGGCAGGAGAATCACTTGAACCTGGGAGGCAACAAGAGTGAAACTCTGTCTTAAAAAAAGAAAAAGAACAAAGAAATGGCAAGAATGTACATTCTTCTCTTGTTCCTGATCTCAGGGGAAAGCATTTAGTCCCCCACCATTAAGTATGGAGGTAGCTGTGCATTTTTTGTTGATGACCTTTATCAGATTGAGGAAGTTATGCTTCTTGCCTGTTTGTGTTGGGTGGTTTTGTTGTTGTTGTTGTTGTTGTCGTTTTGAGATGGAGTCTTGCTCTATCACCGAGGCTGTAGTGCAGTGGTTCAATCTCAGCTCACTGTAAACCTCTTCCTCCCAGGTTCAAGGGATTCTCCTCCCTCAGCCTCCTGAATAGCTGAGATTACAAGCACATGCCACCACGCCCGGCTAATTTTTGTATTTTTAGTAGAGACAGGGTTTCCATGTTCGTCAAGCTGGTCTCAAACTCCTGACCTTGTGATTCACCCTCCTGGGCCTCCCAAAGTGCTGGGATTACAGGTATGAGTCACTGCATCCAGCCTGTGTTGAGTGTTTTTTTATTAAGAAAGAGTGTTGGATTTTGTCAAATGTTTTCCTGCATCTATTGAGACAATCATATGGTTTTGGTTTTTATTCTATTAACATGGTACATTGTATTCATTTATTTTGTACATCAAACCAATCTTACCTTCCTGGGATAAACCTCACTTATTTATGGTACATAATCCTTTTTTATGTGCAGCTTGCTAGTATGCTAGTATTTGGTATCAGGGCAATATTGGTCTCACAAATTAGTAGAAAAGTGTTCCCTTCTCATATTTTTCAGAAGGTTTTATGATGGATTGGTGTTCATTCCTCTTTAACATTTGGTAGAATTCTCCAGAAAAGTCATGTGGTTCTAGGCTTTTATTTATAGAAAGGTTTTTTTGATGATTTGTTAACCTTTCTACTTGGTATAGGTCTATTCAGGGAGTCTATTTTTTTTTGAGACGGAATTTCTCTCTTGTTACCCAGGCTGGAGTGCAATGGCGCGATCTCGGCTCACGGCAACCTCCGCCTTCTGGGTTCAGGCAGTTCTCCTGCCTCAGCCTCCTGAGTAGCTGGGATTACAGGCACGTGCCACCATGCCCAGCCAATTTTTTTTGTATTTTTAGTAGAGACGGGGTTTCACCATGTTGACCAGGATGGTCTCGATCTGTTGACCTTGTGATCCACCCGCCTCAGCCTCCCAAAGTGCTGGGATTACAGGCTTGAGCCACCGCGCCCAGCCAGGTTGTCTATTTTTTAAGCAGTTTGATAGTTTGGATCTTTTTTGGCATATGCCCATTTCATCCAGGTTATCTTATTTGTCGGCATGTAATTCATTGTATTCTGTCATCTCTTTCATTCCTGGTTTTAGTACTTTGAGTCTTTTTTTTTAATTTCTTTTTTGTCAGCCTACCTAACTGTTGTCAATTTTGGTTATCTTTTCAAACAACCAACTTTTAGTTTTGCTGCTTTTCTTCATTTTTATTCTATTTTCTATTTTATTTATTTCTGCTATAATAGTTATTTTCTTCCTTGTGTTTGCTTGATTTAGACTTAGTTTTCTCTTCTCTTCTATTTTCTTAGGGAAAAAAGCTAGGTTATTGATTTTTGACCTTTACTCTTTTTAAAATATAGGCATTTAGAGCAATAAATTTCCCTGTAAGCACCATTTAGCTGCATTGAATTTATTGTAGGTTGTGTTTTTAAATTTTTATTCATCTCAAAGTATTTCTAATTTTCTTTTTCTTTTCTTTCTTTTTTTGTTTTTTTGAGACAGAATCTCACTCTGTTGCCAGGTGCCAGGCTGGAGTGCAGTGGTGCTATTTCGGCTCACTGCAACCTCTGCCTTCTGGGTTCAAGCAATTCTCCTGACTCAGCTTCCCTAATAGCTGGGACTACAGGCACGCACCACCACGCTCAGCTAATTTTTGTGTTTTAGTGGAGACAGAGTTTCACTATATTGGCCAGGATGGTCTTGATCTCTTGACCTCATGATCTACCTGCCTCAGCCTCCAAAAGTGCTGGGGTTACAGTTGTGAGCCACTGCACCCGGCCTTTTTTCTTTTCTTTTTTTTTTTTTTTTTTTGAGATGGAGTCTTGCTCTGTTGCCCAGGCTGGAAGGCAGTGGCACAGTCTCAGCTCAGTACAACCTCCACCTCCTGGGTTCAA